AGAGGGGTGACCAAGGCGGTGGTGCCAGAGGAGAGTCTCGTGAGACAGGAGATGACACGAACAGGGGGCATACTCAGGACCAGACCTAGACGCTGCAGCAAACACCTGACCTGACGCAGCTACCCTACCAGACTCAGCAGCGGGAGGAGACGCAGTGGTCAATGTGTACAGGCTCGACCTCGGCTGACGGGTAAACGTAGCCAGGTGTCGGCCTGTGCTAGCGTCGGTGCAGTGCGTCACCCGCTGGCGCGCAGGAGTGAACTGGTGGACACCCGCATCCTGTAGGTCAGCACCACTCACCAGGTTCGTAGAGAACGAGGGGAGGTAGAGACCAGACAGGGTGCCAGAGGGAGCCGTCGGACACGGGAGGACTGTAGAGAAGCGAGACAGGACAGGACCCCCAGAGGGGTCAGCCAGCGACACCGCAACCGGCCGACTAAGTGGCGTGAGTGTGGTGCGGTCCCGAAAGAAGGAGCGAGAAGCCCAAGAGTCAAGGTTGAAGGTGAGGGAGGCCGAAGCCGACGTAGTACCTGAGAGCGCTGACTCACCAGTACCTGAGGGCGCAGACGCACTGGCACCTAGTGCAGCAACCTCACCGGCACCTGGAGGAGTAGTACCAATGCCAGGGTCGGGCGGGAAACACCGGTAACAGTCACCCTCATCACTAATAGTCACAGCATACATTGCAGCAAGGATAGCATCAAAGTCAAGATCAAAGATAGCTACTCCTGCCCTAGACAGCTCTCCCCAACGGGGGATCTCACTGGCCTCCGGGAACTGCTGACGCCAGGCGTCCGTCAGGCGGCCAAAGCAGCACTGGGCGGTGTGGGCACCCCCACACTGCTCACCCGCGCGGTCGCCGGTGCGAAGGACGTAGGTGCAGAGACCAAATCTCCCACCACGCTGACGCTGCGTGTACCACTCACGGAGCTGCTGAGGGGACAGGCCCTCACGACCGCGCTGCTGCTGCTGGCGCGTGGCACCACCGGAGCCACTCCTCTGCGAAGACCCGCGACCAGCTCCACCGCCACCCCCGCCGCCTTCGCCGCCTCCGCCGCCTCCGCTACTGCTGCCGCCTCCGCCACCGCCTCCACCGCCGCCACCGCCTCCACCGCCTCCTCCACCGCCGCCACCGCCGCCTCCACTGCCGCCACCGACCCCTCCACCCCCACCTCCACCCCCACCGCCACCCCCACTCCCCCCACTGCCGCCACCTCCACCTCCACCGCCCCCGCTCGCTCCTCCAGTGCCCTTGCCCCCCTTGCCTTTGCAAGGGCGGCGTCTCCCACTAGGGGCAGACGCCGCACCGACCGACTCAAGACCAAGGAGGTCGGCCGCAGCAGCAGAGGCAACAGAGGGCAGAAGGGGGGAAGGGGAACACCCCTCAAAGATGGGGGTGCGCGGGTCACCACGAGAGGCCCCTACAGCGACAATGCTCGGCCGCTAGTAGGGACTTCTCGAGGAGGTCGACAGTGAGAGTGGTGGGACAGACTGAGAGGAAGTGGTCCCTGACTACGCGAAGGGAGTCAGGGAGACGAGTGACTATGTAGTAGAGGGTGATGTACATGGGGGGGGGGGGGGGGGTTCTTGGCGCAGAAGTCAGCAGGGAGTGCAGCGCGGTAGCGAGTGTCACTAGTGCGGAGGTGCGTAATGAGGTCAGCGACTGTGGGAAAGGCAGCAAGGTCAGGGAAGAGGTACGGTAGCATGAGACGGCTCAGTGCAGCAGTGGGAGGGGAGGAGTAGCACGCAACTACAGCGTCGTACAAGGTCTGTGCACTCTTGTACTGACTAAAGTGCGCACGCTCAGAGGTAGGGAGGTGGCGACGCACAGCAAGATGTGCAGCAGCGTCGCGCGTGGCCCACTGGGAGCGAATAGTGGCGTCAGCATCAGCAGCAGGGGCAGGGGCAGTGCCAGAGGTGAGGTCAAAGAGAGAGAGACTGTCTGCCCTATCGCACTGTAAGAACAGCTGCAGGTCATCTAGCCAGACCTCAAAGTCAATGGCCCTACCCTCAGCGTCAAAGGCGAGGACACTAGGAGTAGCCATGACCCTAGACGACGAGTAGTGCAAGCAGTAGGGTGGGAGGGCAGTGCAGTGACAGAAGGAGCTGTGCTCACCGGACTGTGCAGGTCGGGCGGCTCGGAAGAAGGGCGGCTCGAACGCTCGGCTGCTGGGCTGCTCGGCGGCTCGGCTGCGGCTCGGCTGCTGCAGTAGGGGACGAGCAGGGACAGGCGGCGTACGAGCGGCGAATACCGCACGGGCGGCGACGGGCCGGGGTACGGGCGGCGCACGGGCGGCGTACGGGCGGCGTGGGGCCGGGACGGCGGTGCGGGGCCGGGACGGTCGGCGTACGCGCGGCGTGGGGCCGGGACGGCGGCGCAGGCCCGGGACGGGCGGCGCACAGGCGGCGTAGGGCCGGGACGGCGGTGCACGGCCGGGACGGGCGGCGCACGGGCGGCGTGGGGCCGGGACTGGCGGCGCACTGGCGTCGACGGGCCGGGGCAGCGGCGCGCGGCCGGGACGGGCGGCGCACAGGCGGCGTGGGGCCAGGACGGGCGGCGCACGGGCGTCGAGGGGCCGGAGCAGCGGTGCGCGGCCGGGAAGGGCGGCGCATAGGCGGCGCGGGGCCTGGACGGGCGGCGCGCGGGCGTCTAGGGGCCGGGACGGGCGGCGCGTGGGCGTCTAGGGGCCGGGACGGGCGGCGCGCTGGTGTCTAGGGGCCGAGACGGGCAACGCGCGGGCATCTAGGGGCCGGGACGGGCGGCGCGCGGGCGTCTAGGGGCCGGGACGGGCGGCGCGCGGGCGTCTAGGGGCCGGGACGGGCGGCGCACGGGCGGCGTGGGGCCGGGACTGGCGGCACACTGGCGTCGACGGGCCGGGGCAGCGGCGCGCGGCCGGGACGGGCGGCGCACAGGCGGCGTGGGGCCGGGACGGGCGGCGTACGGGCGTTGAGGGGCTGGGACGGGCGGCGCGCGGGCGTCTAGGGGCCGGGACGGGCGGCGCGCGGGCGTCTAGGGGCCGGGACGGGCGGCGCGCGGGCGTCTAGGGGCCGGGACGGGCGGCGCGCGGGCGTCTAGGGGCCGGGACAGGCGGCGCGCGGGCGTCTAGGGGCGGGGACGGGCGGCGCGCGGGCGTCTAGGGGCCGGGACGGGCGGCGCGCGGGCGTCTAGGGGCCGGGACGGGCGGCGCGCGGGCGTCTAGGGGCCGGGACGGGCGGCGCGCGGGCGTCTAGGGGCCGGGACGGGCGGCGCGCGGGCGTCTAGGGGCCGGGACGGGCGGCGCGCGGGCGTCTTGGGGCCGGGACGGGCGGCGCGCGGGCGTCTAGGGGCCGAGACGGGCGGCGCGCGGGCGTCTAGGGGCCAGGACGGGCGGCGCGCGGGCGTCTAAAGGCCGGGACAAGCGGCTAAAGGGGGCCAGTAGGGGCCGAAAGAGAGGGGAGCGCGACTCGGGCAGGGGCAGAGTGCGCTCCGGGCAGGAAAAAAAAGACGGTGGGCCCTAGGAACAATTCCCACGAGGGAACCTGCTCGATACCATGAGAAAACTAGAACGAGAATGAATGAACTATGAATGAAGTGAGTACAAATAGGAAACCCTAATTGGGTTGTACCCCCTATGGGATACCCCACTATAGCCTACACAATAGCATAAGCTATAAAGTTCTGACACGAAGGCATGAGCGAACATTTATACGTGAAACATGCAAACGGTAACGCGGTGCGTGCGAGCTAGCTAGTGCTATGCTGGAAGCGAGGCTCGGGCTAGTCCCGAAGCGTAGGCCGACACGGCCAGGCCAGCAGTGCGAGGTTTGGTGAAACAGTGCGCGCGAAATCGGCGAAGCCCCGTTAGCAGTAACGGGTGAACAACGGCTGCTGCTGTACGCGATGTTGCAGGGCGCGCTAAGGAATATCGAGAAAATTCCTTACAGGCCCCAATGCTAGACCGTTTGGTTAATTATTGGTACTCTAGACGAAACATCGGGTAAACATGTGAGACGCGATATCCTTTCGACACATGGAAATCGCGTCTGAACCGATCGGGACCATTTTATTGTTTTTTCGCCTCAAACATTTTGAAAGCATCCTTTTTGACGGTGACCGTGGATCCCCCAGTCCTCCGTGTTTCACCCCCGAGGGCCGTTGGGGTGCAGGTTTCCATCCATTTCGGCCGTTACCGTCATCGCCCGGATATAAGACATGTATGTCTTATCTCATACATGAAAAAAAAAATCAGTCTTATAAATGGACAAAAATCCGTTTAGAATATACTTCCTCGTTATACATTTGCCATTTGCCCCTACACACAAATAGGTGTCTTATAATGGGGCTACCCCGTTTATAAGAGACACCCGTATAATAGACAGCTCCTGTCTCCTATTCAACACTGTCTTATATCCGGGTGATGACGGTACACTTGGTGAGTAGAGCCGACATTGGGTCGGCTCCAATGATTACACTGCCGGCGCAGTCCCACCACTTGCTTTTTGTTGCGACCCTGAACCATTTGGGCGACAGAGCCAAACCCAATGGTTCCATCGTGGTGGCCCAAAGGGCTATCGAACAGGGCCTTAGTGGTTAGAACGCATGATGCCCAACAAAGGGTAGTGTTTCCAAGCAGCAAATGGGCGGAACAAGCATGTTACATGAATTACTGAACTTGTAACCTTCACGATTAAGCTCTCCTAACCATCTGACAGGTACCGGTACATTTGAAAATAGTCAGTTTTTACTCACACCCTCCTCACATAAAAAAGAGGAGGGGTTGATGTTGCACTTGGGAAGCCAACAATAACTATGGCAACCCAACCCAGCACAACAAAGAATTAAAACACATCAGCAGCCCAAGTCATCAGCCCCAAAACCGTCTCTTCGCTACTTCCCACCAAGATCCTAAAACACATTCCCCATCCCAAATCTACCACTAACACAGGTCACACACCTACTTGATTGCCAACCGACCAAACCTGGCAGACGCATGCTGCCAGCCCTGAAGCGCAGGGACCAATCACGTGGCGCCACGTGCCTCCCTGCGCGTGGCGTCGTGTAGAATGTCCACGTCAACACCGTCTGGTGGCAGCAGCACGTAGCGCACCACTGAGCCTCGGATGAAACAGTTCTTCACTGACAGCTGTTGGGGAATGGTAAGAAAGCACAGACGGAGCAGAGAGGGCGAGTGAGGAAGGGAGGTCGTGTGACGGCTATATGGTGGCAGCAACATAGAGCGCACCACTGAGCCTCGATCAAAACAATTCTTCCCGATGGGGAATGGTCAGCAAGTACGGGATGGCGGGGTAGACAAAAGAGGGAAGTAAGATGAACAGGTGAGGAGCGAGAGGGAGAGCAAGGGAGAGGTTGAGAGGTGAGGAGAGAGGGAGGGGAGTTGTGTGATGGTTGTCTGGTGGCAGGAGCACGTGGTGCTCGTCTGGGCCTTAAGTGAAACGGTCTTTCACTGGGAGCTGCATTGGGTAGAACGGAAGCAACAGGCATGGTAGTGAGCAGCGTGGATGAACGGAGTAAAGTTTTGTTGGCTGGTGGGGTTGACTGGTGGTCGTCTGGTGACAGCACCACTAAGTGTATGTGTACACCACTGATCCTTACAGGAAACAGTATCTCCCAAAAATATGAAGTGGGAAATGGCAGGAAATGACGGGAGTGGTGGGAATTCAAGTACGAAAGAGAGAGGGAGGGTGAGCGAAGAGGAGAGGACGAGTGAGGGAGGGACTCTGTCTGATGGATTTCTGGTGGCAGTAGCACAAAACGCCCCACTGAGCCTCGAATGAAACACTTCGCCACTGCGAGGAGTGGTGAGAAATCAAAGAGACACGGACATGGTGGGGGTGGACATCAGTGGGAAATGAGTGGTCACGTGCGTGCCGCACCTCCAAACGATCACAAACACACTCACCCTGTGCAGATACTAAGCATCGTTGACGACCCAAGAGTTGTGCACTTGATGTTCAAGGGGTATTGGCTCCAAGGGGTAAAGGAGAGAAGGGTGGGAGAGAATGTGGAGAAGGCACTTGGCTCCTACACAGCTCTCACCATGTGCGGGTATTTCGCATCGTTGACCACACGTGAGTTGTGCAGCTTGATGTTGAGGTACTGGTCCACAGAGTGCAGTGCGCCACGTGGGGGGAGCGCAGAGAGCAGAGAAGGATCATGGCACAGCCCTTTTCAACACTCACCATGTGCGGGTATTTCGCATCATTGACGACCCTGGAGTTGTGCAGCTTGATGTTGAGGTACTGGTCCACAGAGTGCAGCGTGCCGCTGATGGCCAGGTCGTTCTTCAGCTCCACCGTCACCTCCTTGCCGATCAGCTCCTTGAAATACGAGAAGAACAGCTGAGGGGAGGGGGGAGAAAGGAGGGGGATGGGAAAGTGGAGGAGAGGAAAGGGTTGATAAACAGGGGGTGGGATGGGTACGTGCAGAATCTGGTTCTTGCTGCAGCGTCACCTCCTTGCAGATTAGCTCCTTCAAGTATGAGAAGAACAGCGGGTGGGGGGTTTGGGGGGGTGGGAGGGGGGTGGGGGGGGGAGGGAGGAAAGGGGGGAGAGGGAGAGGAGGGTTTGCTGGATTGAGTGTTGTCTGACTTCGTGACTTGAAACACGAGACGCGTGGCTGAAGGGGGGAGGGAAAGAGGTGAGAGATAGGGGAGGGAGAGAAGGGGATAGGGGAGGGGAATTGGGATGCGGGAGCTTGGAAAGGAATGAGGGAAAGGAGGAGAGGGGAAGAGGGATGAGGGAGAGGGGAAGAGTGCGGAGAGGGGGAGGAGAGGGGGGGAGCGGAAGAGCAAAGGGATGGTGAAGTGGTGAGTGAAGGGTGGCTGGCTATATAATGGCTACCCGGACTGAAGGCCATTCTCCTCTCTCTCCGCCCTCTCTGCTCTCCTCCTCCTCCTCCCTCTTCCCCACGCTCTTTAACTCTATACAGTCAATGACAAAGCTGACAAGGGCAAATCCGTCCGCGCATTTTGCACCATGAGACGCCTTCACTGATAACCCTTGCCATGTGACCCTTGCCAAGTGACCCTTGCCATGCCAGAAATGTAGTCAGTTGCTGCCGAGTGGTAACGCCTTTACTAATTGACAAAACCACCCTGTTATGTCAGTTGCTGCTGCCTGAATGCACGAGCAATGGTTACCAGATAAGGATTGTTACCAGGCTAACGGCTGTTACCAGGCTAACGGCTGTGGATAGAATTCGTCACAAGATGCATTGACACGTGTCCATGCGCATGCGGCACACTGCACGACAGCCAATGAAATTGCGCCCACTCCCTCTTCTCCCGCTCCCCCTATCCTTCCATTCCATTCCCCTCCCCCCTCCCTCTCCCCCTACTCTACCTACCCACCCCGATTCCCCACCCCCACTCCCCAAACCGCCTCCCAGACTCCCACTCCGTCGCTTCTGCCCCGCGGTTGACGGTGCTACCGGCGTTGGGAGTACGACCCGACCAATAAAGCGTGCAACAACTCAATTTGGCGACATCGAAATTCGCACAAACGGAAAGGTTTCCAGGTGCGAGGGTCGACGAGAGGGGATTTTTTTTCTCCAGAAAACCCTTGACTCGATGCAGAAGCAAAGTATCGGCGAGACAGGGAGAAGCAGCTGTTAGGGTTTCATCGCAGGTAGAAACCGTCAGCGTAAGAACCGGTCGAGAGGATCACGGGTTTCCCGTGACTAACCGACGCTAAGAACCTCACCATGATCTCGCGCGAAGGAGAGAGGACAAGGCGAGGCGACGCGGGAAGCGTCTGAAACAGCTGCTGGTGCGAGAGTCCAGACGATGCGCGCCTATTGTTGAAAAGGGGAGCGATAAGCGCTTTTCCTCGTTTAACGGAAGAGACGGGAAAGGCGTGTGAAGCTGGGTGCGGAGGCCAATGGTCAGTCAATCAGATCGAGTGGAATTCAAACAGGTGTCTGGTAATACCGAGGGACGTGATCATTCGAGGCGAGGAAGCGGAAGGAGGGAGGCGAGGCGAAACGAGGCAAGGGGGAGTGATGCTGGCTGGCCTGTTTTGCCGCTGCAATGCTTTGCGGGTGGCGAAAGATGTTACATAAACTGGATAGAAAACCGAGAAGAGTATCTCAGATACATGTATATATACATATATACATGGATTAAAAGGACTGCACATCTTGACAAATGTCACATTTAGCTTTTAAAGCATGAACAGTTGGTACTAACTTATACAAGTCCAGGCCTACTGCGTTGGACGCCCCCCATGTCAAATGGATTCATCACGAGGAGGAACTTGCAGCAATACAGAACCAGAAGACAAGGGATGCACGGGCGTAGAGCACCCGAACCTGGGAGGGAGGAAAGGATGAAAGGGGGAAGCGTAAAACAGTGGAAAGAGGGCAAAATTCAATCGAATGCACCATCCAAGCAACAAAGATCTGCCCCATTTAGAGCTACACACATTCCCTCTATACGCATACCAAGCCGAGCCTCCACATACGCGTATCATATACAGAATCCAGTGCAAGTCAAAACAAGAACTTGCGGAATCAACTCCATACTCGTACCTCTTTAAGAGCCATCCCTCCGCATGTGTGCACCGCACTGCCTCCCCCCACAATACTCGTCTCCACCACCCTCACCCCTGCCGCCTTCCCACCCTTGCCCCTCAATCCCCCACACAACGCCGCCACAGGTAGTGCTCTTGATGGCGGTTCTGCTGCTGCTGCTTCTTCTGTGGCTGCTGTTGCTGCTGCTGATGAAGGTGCTCCTAACGAGGTGTTACTCTCAGTTGCAGCTGTTGCATGCCCTGCATCCCCTACACGCCCTGCTCCACAGCTCTGCATATCCCACACCACCCTCTGCATGTCCCCTCCACAGACACCACCATTCTCCCCTTCACACTCCCCACCAACCCTCCGCCTCTTCCTATTAGCCACTGCGACAGCCATCCCCCCCTCCACTCCTCCCTCACCCAACCGCTCCCCTTCCTTCTGCTGCTGCAGCTGCTGCTGCTGAATTTCTTTCTGTGCAAGCGCATGTGCATGGGAGCCGGGGTGGCAAGTTGCAGAGGAGAGGATGGGGAAGAAGAGGTGTGCGAGGGGGTGTGCAGCACACTCTATGGCACACCGCTCCACCACCAGCCGCCCCTGCCGGTGCAGCACGCAGTGCCCGTACCCTGACCGCACTGTCACGTTGATTAACAGCGCTGACGCTGAGAAGTCCAGTGCGCTGACAAATAGGACGGCGAGGATGAGGGGTTTGGAGGAAAAGTCGGTGGAAAAAAAGGGGAAAGTAGGAGAAGGAAAACAGAGAAGAATATGAGGGAAAAATGTTTTGCAGATGTTCCCAACTCTCCATTTTGGACCACCTCCGCAGAAATAGGAGAGGAGGTTGGGTTGGGAGGGGGCCAGAGGCCAAATTGGCACCCTCTTGGAAACACGAGCTAATGTTGTAAAGCTTTCTACCGCTTCCAACCGCACTTGCTACCTCTCTAGGCAGCTGCTCTCACCTCTCGGCCCACTTGGGGCTCTCGAGAACCGTGTCTCCACATGTCATGCCCGCTCCCCTCTGATAAGAGTGGGAGGCCAAGGAGAGAGGTTAGAGAGGAGAGGAGAGGAGAGAAGGGATGAGAGAGGGGAAAGGAGAGGGGAGAGGGACGAGGAGAGCGGAGAAGAGAGAGGAGAAGAGAGAGGAGAACGAGACTCATAAATTGCCCACACATCAACTGGCAAGCCATTGTATGGCATGGAAAGACAGGCAGCGAACTGAGAGGTGGAACACAACAAGCGATAAAGCTAAACTCATACCGTCTCCCCTCCACTCCCTTCAACCCTACCCCTCCAAAGACCCATCCCACCCTCTCCTCTTTCTCCCTGCCACTTCCCAGTTCCCCCCTCCAATTCCCCATGTTACAATCCGCCCCTCAACCCCCCACCCCCTTCTCCCCCCTTCCAACGCACCAGGCAGGCACAGCGGCTTGTCCACGACCACACTCTCCACTGCATGCACGGCAATAGGCCTAAAAACCTGTGATTCGACTCACAAGTCGCCTTGCTTCATTGCATTCACTTCACATCCTTCCCCACCCCTACCAACCCACCAGGCACAGCGGCTTGTCCACGACCACACTCTCCACTGCATGCACGGCGCCTGCTGCCAATAGGATGGTGTCGCCCGGACTGGCGCGCACGGGATGACAGGGGAGAAGGAAACGGATGGGGCCGTGGGGGGGGGCGGGGGGTGAGGGGGGGAGGGAGGGGGGATGAGGTACTATTATTGTGAAAAAAACATTATGGAAGGTTGGCAGCGTTACATGGAGTGCAATCAGCGGAGCTGCGGAAGGGGAGGAAGAGGGAGGAGGGAGGAGGGAGGAGGGAGGAGGGAGGAGGGAGGAGGGAGGAGGGAGGAGGGAGGAGGGAGGAGGGAGGAGGGAGGAGGGAGGAGGGAGGAGGGAGGAGGCTGAAAATTCTGGGGGTAGGAAAAACAGGGGGGCTGACAGGGGGCTGACTACGCTGCCTTGACGAATCATCTTGTCTAGTGTCAAAACGAACAACACACACATTGCTGGTAGAAAAATAGGGTCCTTATAATCACGCATCTGATAGTACTTCGCCACGCACCGCGCAGCTCTGACCGCAAGTGCCAACGACGGGAAGACACGTGGCAGCATGTCGTCAACCTCGTCGTCTGCCTCCCCGCGGAGAGGCGGCGGGAGGGATTGTGCGTGCGCCGGGGGTGTCGCGCGCGGGGGCGGAAGCGGGGGGAAGGCGGAAGGGAGGCTTGCGCGGAGAGGGTGAGGGGAGAGGGCGGAGTCAAGCGAGCGGCGGAGGTGGTGACGTGGCGCGGAGAATCGGCGGGAGAAGCGGAGCGGGTCCACGTGGATCCACATGCGGCGATCGGCGGCAAGATGTTGCCATCTGCGGCACACACGGCCCGCGTGGAACCGATCTGCCAATAACGGAGATGAGATAGGAGGTACGATAGGGAGGGTCGGAGGGGAGGTAGGACTATGAACATAACGAAGACGCGCCGCGCCGCTGATGCGGAAGCAACATGTGACGCGCCTCGAAGTTCCCTTCGCATACGCACAAAAAAAAAAAAACGAAAGACAAAATAAAGTGGTAATCATTTTTCCTTCTGACGCGCAACGTTCTGACACACTGCTCGTTATAATCACCTGGAAGCGGTGCTAGGAAGGAGAAGACGAGAAGCAGACACGCGTCGTCGAGGCAATCCATAGTCGTTGCGCTGCACCCTCCGCCATCCCCGCCCGCCACCGCCGCGCACGCGGAGGCCTTCCGCCCACCCCGCGCAACACCTGCGCTTTCATGCGCGGGCTCCGCCAGCGCGCATGCTTCCGCCTGCGCAGGAAAGCCCAACGGCCGATTATCCATGACGCGAGGAAGCGGTGATATACTATTACTGCGTACTGCAGTCTGATGAAGGAACCGCGTGTCAGATTCCTTCTATTCGAGCTCTTCAGATGATCATGCGGGGGCAACACATCAACAAAGAAGTCCCAAGGGGGAATTTGAGGAGGTAGCGCAGTGGTGGCTGGGTAGGGTGCGGTTGCACTGGTGGCGTGAGCATTGAGCGAGTGGGGGAGGGGGGGGAGGGTTGGGGGAAGGCAGAGGTTGAGAGGACATTACTTCATTCGTCGATGTTATTGGTAGATATTCCTGGAATTCCTTTACCGCGTATTTCGAGGGCTGGTTGGGCGCATCCTCGCCAAAAGGAGCTTCACTCGTGACCATAATGAATTATCCATATTTTTGTGTTTCCTTCCTACTCACAGCTTTCTTGTTTCACAAACTCAGCTGGCAATGTTCACACATAATCTCACCACAAGGTCCTATACTGAATATATATGTTTTCAAATGAAATAATTTGTTGTGACAAGTGGCTCACTCTGCAATGGAGATTTTGAGAAGAATACAAAACTGTCAATTTTCACAATCAAGCTCGTGGCTGGAACATGACAGATGCTCCATCTCTCCTACACGAAATATACCGTGATTGTCCATACCTAGAGTATCTATGATGTTCCTACCACTTCCTCAAATGCCTCCTGGTGTCAAAACTTCCCACCAATCATTCTCCCTGAAATCACTCCACTAGCCCCAGAGAATCCTAAATACAGATTGCTGTTTGTAGTCACCTGGAGCGATCCAACCAGCTCCGCCACGTCAGCAGCTGACACCATCACAGCATTGGTGAGTGACCAGGAAGCAGCGCTCATGAGCTGCCACGTGCCAGGGAGGTTCAAGACGACAGTGGAATCACTGACGCTGCAAGCATTTCCCTTGTAGATGGCCTGCGAGGCAGGGGCTTGGGCGATGCCTGACGCATATAGGTAGTAGGCAACTAGGTAATCTGAGCCGCTGCATGGAAAACGGAAGTAGCAACGGAGGGGAAGAGGGCTCAGAAAGAGTGTGAGGAGCTGTAATTAGCGAAGGGGTGCAACCAAATCAGTAGATGCGTTTGGTCAAACAAGCAAGAACTTCTTGAAGAGAAGGAGAAGAACCAAAAAGACAGAATGGTTCAAGAGAAGGCAAGAAGACGGGGTCTTACATCTTGAGGATTTCGATGTTGGCAGCGCCGGCCTGAAGAGAAAGCGGACCGTTGCACGACAGCAGCACCCCACGCAGCATGCCAGCCTGTTGGGGAAGAACATCCGCCAGGCTGCTAATACTGCCGCTCAAAAGCCCGTTAAGAGCGCCACTAATCACTCCGTTGAGGGCGCTGTTGTTTAGAAGGTTGCTGAGGGCCGTGGTGACCGTTTCGTTCAATGCCGTTGTCACATCGGTTACGGTTCCGTTTAGGGCTCCGTTTAGTGCTCCATTTATGGTGACCTGCAGCAGGAGCGCGTTCACCTTCCCGGCGAGTGACGAAACGTTTGCGTTGATCCCTGCGACTCTCTGCGTCACAGCAGATATTCTCTGCGACAGCCGCTGCTGCAGCGACGTAGGCTTTCCAGCCGCGCGAATTGATGAAAACCCGGCTGAAAGTCCCGCCAAAACCGCCAGGTCCTTGTTCAAAGCGTCGACGCTGGATCTGATGCTGGAAATGTTGGCCTTGATTGCTGACACTTGAGAATCCAGGCCTGCCGCTGCCGCTGCCGCTGTAGACACGTTCGCAAACAGGACAAGGTTCACGTTTGCGAGGCTCCCGCTCAGAGCAGCGAGGCCGGCTTTTAGCGCGGATATCTGTAATTGAAGAGCGGCGTTTGCAGCTGCCGCGTTGTCATTGAGACGAGCTCCGAGCTGCCCTAGCCTTCCCTTCAATGCCGCGTCAATAGAAGCGACTTGACCGTTTAGGGACGACTGGAGGTCGTTGAGTGTGGCGCTGACTGACATGGACAGGTTTTGTCTAGCGGCAGAGGCTAATTCAGAGGGTTTGAGGGCCGCTGGGAGGCGGTTGGTGGGGAGTACGCCAGGAACGAACCTCGTGGCGCCCGTTGCTCGAAGCATGAGGGCTGCAATTTCGGAGAAACAAGCAGTAATGAGTAAGGTCTCAAAATTATACGTGATTCTAAACGACAGATTCCGAAATAAGGACATGTAGTGACTTCCTGATCTGAAAACGCAAGTTGCAACAATGGCTCACCTGTGACGAACAGCGTAATCGCCAGTGTGACAGAAGCACTTCGTGCCATTGCAGGAACCGTGAGCTGGTTATGCTACTCGTTGACGAAAACCACTGAAGAGGCGACGACGATGAAAACGATAGTTCGTTGTGAGAGCAAGCTAGGGCTTACGAAGAAGATGTTGAATACTGAATGGAGAGCAGTTGTGGCTGATTTTATGTTAGATGTCAAACGATTTTCTGCTGAATTTATATGCTGCTGGGGGATTGGAATTTGGGAATCAAAGCAATCAGTGCGGTGCGCACCGCTGATTGCGAACAGCTCATTGGTTGTTTCGCGCCTCCGTCGAGTCGCACGCGGAGAGTCAGCTGCTTGGCGAAGCCAGGGGAGGGCCTGTCGGCCTTCGGTAGGCTGGTGGTACCGACGGACCGTCAGGAACATCAACGGCGCTGAACGGCGACGAAAAGCGACGAGGCTGTGCCTGCCCGTGTCACGGCTCCTGGTTACCCTATGCGACGATATGGGACGGTGTGGCAGGCTGTCGTGGAGGTGGTTACCTAATCTCGGTCGAGTAGCCGGTTGCGAAATCAGGGCACCTGCTCCGACCTAAGCGACACTGGCATCCAGCCTGCGAGCGACTCTGTCATGCCCATAGGGTTGAGCTTTGGAGGTGGACGGGGGTGGAAGAGATGTGCTTGCTGATCACACACATCCCAGGGCATGGCACGGCAAGGATTGCAGATTTGCCTGCAGTCACAAACCCAAAAAACTTATGGGTCTCCTACACACACTTGTACCAAGGTCTTCCACCACTGTACTGTACAGTGCTCGAATCCAACTCAAGTTACTCAACACTAAGCACTCATTGTGATCCACCAGAGGAGACAGCATGATAGAGTTTCAATGCAACATTTCTGTCCAACAAAATGTGTTACGACGATTCTAGGTGAATCTAGACTTTGATTTTCTGTGCAGCTGCTGCTGTGCCAGTCGCAGCACCTCCTGGGCCATGACGTCAGCAGCATCAGCAGTGGCAGCAGCCGCTGCACACTCTTTCATCTTCTCCCTCCTTGCTTTGTCCGCTGGCATGGGGGGGGGTTGGGGGGGGGGTTGGGGGGGAAAGAGGGGGGTAAGGTTGGGAAGGGAGGGGGTTGGAAAGGAGGGGGTAAGGCTGGGAAAGGAGGGGGTAAGGTTGGGAAAGGAGGGGTAAGGTTGGGAAAGGAGGGGTAAGGTTGGGAAGGGAAGGAGAGTTTCCCGGCAAAAGCCATTGGAAGGCACACTTGCAGAGACATTGGTACACACACAAGAAGGACGCGCATAAGTCCGACGCGCGCGCGCGCGCACGCACGCACGCACACACACACACACACATGCATGCACGCACGCACACACACACACACACACACACACACACACACACACACACACACACACACACACACACACACACACATGATGATAGCAGGAACGACAAGACACAATTCCTGAAGCTGCAAGGGCAGGGCAGCGGCAAGGGCAGGGGCAGGGGCACGGGCAGGGGCAGGGGCACGGGCAGGGGCACGGGCAGGGGACACGGGCAGGGGCACAGGCAGGGGACACGGGCAGGGGACACGGGCAGGGGACACGGGCAGGGGACACGGGCAGGGGACACGGGCAGGGGACACGGGGATTACCACACAGCAAGGCAATAGCAGAGCCTGGATACCTTTCAAAGCTCGAGACGTCTCAGAACTCATTTCATCTCAGACAGTCGACTAATGTCATGAAGGCTTACCAAGCAGCGAGGTGACAGCCGAGAGGAGAGAGTCTGGGGAGAGCTGGTCCTGAGGCAGCATCACAGCCGCCCCTGCTTGCACCATGGCATGTGCATTCACGGTTTGGTGATCCTCTGCTACGTGTGGTGATGGTATCTGTGCATGGGGATAGATGAGGGGTAATAAGGAGAGAGCATGTGAGTCACGTTCTGTGGGTCCTGAGGCAGCATCACAGCCGCTCCTGCTTGCACCATGGCATGTGCATTCACGGTTTGGTGATCCTCTGCTACGTGTGGTGATGGTATCTGTGCATGGGGATAGATGAGGGGTAATAAGGAGAGAGCATGTGAGTCACGTTCTGTGGGTCCTGAGGCAGCATCACAGCCGCTCCTGCTTGCACCATGGTGTGGACATTCACAGATCGATGAACCTCTGGCACATGTTGTGATGGTATCTGGTATTTGCATGGAGTGATAGAGTGAGGGAAAGAGGAAATGATTCGCCTGGGTTTAGGATGCACATAATCATTCATGGCCTGATGGTCCTCTGCCACGTGTGGTGATCGGAGGGCCGACATTGCCGTGATTTCCGTGACACGACGCATGAGCGATATAGAGAGAGAACTGTCAGGAAAGCTTTGTGAAACTCGGCGCTTACGGATGCCGCGCTTAGGAGTGAGTGCATGCAGGTGCACATGCGCGCATGAGTGCACAGACGCATGAGTGCATGATGAATGAGTGCATGCGTGCATGAGTGCATGAGTGCATGATGAATGAGTGCATGCGTGCATGAGTGCATGAGTGCATGAGTGTAGAAGTGCATGCGTGTATAAGTGCATGAGTGCGCGTACCAAAATGCAGGGCGTGGCCGTAGCGAGCAGCTCAGAGCACGTGACAGCACCGGCACGTGCCACCACCACATCTGCTGCTGCATATGCCAGCTCCATGCGATCCACAAACCTGCCACCCAACACCATACGGCATGGTTGTAGAGGGGGCATGGGGAGGGTGGCGGGACGGAGGGGTGTGAGGGGAAGGAGAGAACGGAGACGGGGGGGCACGTACCGCCACCACCACATCTGCTGCTGCATATGCCAGCTCCATGCGATCCACAAACCTGCCTCCACTCACCATGGGGTATGGTTGCAGAGGGGGAATGCGGAGGGTGGCGGGGCGAGGGGTGTGAGGGGAAGGAGGGGGGAGAGGAGGAAAGGTGTGAGGAAACGGAGATGGGTGAGGGGAAGGGGAGGGGGGGGGGGTGGGGGAGGGGGGGTGGGGAAGGAGAGGGGTGAGGGGATGGGGGAAAGTGGAAACGGGAGAGAATGGGAGACAGATGGGGAGACGCAGAGTTTTGAGTCGACTCAAAAGAAAGTGGAAACGGGAGAGAATGGGAGACAGGTGGGGAGACGCAGAGAGGAAGGGAGGAACGCACGGCAACACGAGGAGACGAGCATGTGGAGCAGAAAGAGTGAGACATGCATGGAGAGGAGGATGAGAAGAGATCAGAAGAAGAGAGGAGCTAGGGACTCTTGCCAACACCAGAGGCATGCGTGTCAGTACACATCAGCGAAGCAGCAACGCAAGAGAGGGGCGGGAGGTAGCCGACAAGGAAAACAAGGTGGAGAGTGGATGCAGTTGACATGGAGAGGAGATAACAGCAATGTCAACTGCATGATGGGGCATCGGAGCAAGCGACTATTGAGAAGAGACCTGACAACATGATGGCACAATCTCAGACATCCCTCACCTAACCTGTGATCGTGAGTACTGTTGGTAAGAGCGAAGGAAGGAGGAGAAAAGAGCGAGGGAAGGAGGAGAAGGGAGAGAGGGAAGCAGGAAAAGAGACCTCACGGCAAGAGAGAAACGCGGGGATGTGACGCAAGAGGAAGAGCTCTCATCTCCCCCACATGCCGTGCTCCCGCCTGCCATATCACCAACACCTCCCCACCATTGTGCACACCATCCAACCCTTCAGCACCGCACTCCACACCGCCGGACCCATCAAGTAGCTGCTGCAGCGTGCCTGCGACGGCTGTGTTGATGGGTTGTGCTCCCAGCGAGCCCCCCAGCACCAGCACCACCTGTGTTCTCCGCCCCACTCCTCCTGCTGCTCCTCCTGCTGCTCCTCCTGCTGCTGCTCCTCCCACCGTTCCTCCTGCTGTTCCTGTTGCAGCTGCACCAGCAGCAACGCCATCAGCACCAGCAGCGGCAGCAGCTGCTGCGGCATGTGGAAAGAAGTACCTGATCGCTTCTTCCCGCTTCTCTTCCCGCTCTTCCCTCACGGATCGCAGTACGGCGCGCGTGGGGTTCCCTGCCACGTGGCAGCGCCGGGTTGGAAAGAACCTCTGGGCAACGGCGAAGGCGACGAAAACGACGCTCGCGAAGCGGCCAAGCAGGCGATTGGCGATTCCCGCGAAAGCGTTCTGCTCTTGTAACACGAGAGGTATGCGACAGATAGCGGCGGCTAGACAAGTCGGCGCGGATACGTACCCTCCCGTGCCTACTACGATATCGGGCTTTAATCGCCAGATTAAGAGGAGGCAAACGCAGAACGCGCGGAGGAAACGGAACGGTACGAGGAGATTGGAGAGGGTGGTGAGGAGCGGCCGACGGATACTGACGGCTGGGATTGGATGGATCGTGTAGCCTGCACGCGGGACAGCCGTCCATTCCATTCTCTCCTTGGTTCCGACGAAGTTGATCTCGGCCGTTGGATCGCGGGATCGGACGGCGTCCGCGATGGCGATGGCAGGGTACACGTGGCCGCCCGTGCCGCCGGCGGCAAAGAGGATCGAGATCCGCGGGGGTGAATCTGACGTGTCGGGTGGTGCTACAACCGAGGGCGATCCTCCCGCAGAGCATGTGACTGTAACGGAGGAACGTCCTCTGCTACCACCGCTGGTATTGTTAACCCGCGAAGACTCCCTTGAACTAATTTCATCCCGTTTAAAGCTCCCGCTTTGGGGACACCTACCAGGAGCAGCAGAGGCGATCCTTCCGCTTCTACTGCCGCCCATGGGGCGTGCAAATGCCGACGATCCCCGGCTTATCGGCGCGATCACACCCCCTGGCCCGCCAGGGCGCACACTCCTGCCCCCGTAGCACCCGCCTCCGCTCACACCGGCGTCCGATCTCCGCAGCAGCGTCGCGCGCGGAACAGCGGAAGCGGACGCGGCGGGCAAAAGCGCGCGCCTATGCGCGAATGCGGTCGCGGTGCTTCCGTCGTGAACGGGATTTGCTGAGGCGGGGAGGAGGAGCGCCGAGGCTCGAATCATGGTTTCCTTTCACCCAGGAACCATACGGGAGCATCGACTCGGTGCGGAGCCACGTAGTAGATTCCTACTGACGGGGCTCGAGGGTGGAATATGGGGCGAGGCCCGCTTGCGCAATAATAATGGATTTCTGGGAGAACGGGTTGCAGCGCTGACCTGGTTCTGAAACGCGAGCAGGTAACCAAACTCGTCGAAAGTAAGTTTGCTCATGGCCAACTGCGACGGAATCGGAATCCGATTTTCGCTTTTCGGCCAAGCTCATCCATGCTTTTGCTTTGGGCTGCCAGTCAGAAAGGTTAACCTCGGTACCGTAATAGGCCATCACGAAAGCGATTTTGTTACGAGTGCAATTGAGTGAACGAACGAGAATTGCACTATCGAAGCAAGAATACAATGAGCGAGGGCGTGAGCGAAGAATATATAGCGAAACTACAGTGGTAACGGTAATGGTCTGTGGTAGTCGCGCGACGAGCCTGGGACTGAGGTTGGGAAAGTGTCGAGGCGTAGGCCCGGAGCGCGGGTTACCAGCCGAGCCGTGAGGTCGGGATGCGATGTGCGAAAAATGGCGGGATGATTGTCGATGCGATGATCGCGAGTGGTAACAGTGCTGACTGAGATGCTACAGTGATGTACGCGTTGAGCAGGGATGCGAAGTAAGGAAAAGGGATTTTCCTTACACTACCCCCCCCCTCCTAAGGAGGTCCTTACGAAAGTGTGTGGACTTCTTTGAAGTTTCGGCTGCGCAGATATTCGGTGAGGACAGGGTGGTTTTCAATTCTGTCCAGGGGAACCCAGTTGTCCTCGGTAGGTGTGCGGTCTTTCGAGCGGATCAGGAACTCGATCTTTCGGGCTCCTCGAGGGTCGCGAACTCTGTGACTCAGGATTTTGTCAAGGGTGATGATTGGTTCGGATGGTGGTCGTGCCATGCTGGATGGTCGGTGTCGTGGGAGTTGGCCGGTGGATGGTACGTAAGGGCGAAGCAAGCTGACGTGGAACGAGGGGCTGACGTACCAGTCAGCAGGGAGGAGGAGGTGCGCGGTGACAGGTGTAATCATGTGGCTAATTCGAAATGGCCCACAGTATCGGGGGCGGAGTTTTGGAGTGATGGGCAGGCGGAGGTTTTGAGTGTCGAGTAAAACGAGGTCGTCGGGCTGATAAGTGACAGGTCTGCGGTGGCGGTCGGCGTTGCATTTAGCGATGATGTTCGATTTTTTTTTATTGCTTCTGCTGCCCTGGTCCGTGCTACTTGCAAAATCTCGGCAAATTGTTGCGCACGTGGAACGGGGTTGTCGGGATTTGGGGTCATGGGTACTGTGGGGTCTTGTCCGTAATTCAGGTAAAACGGTGACTGTTGGGTCGTGGCAGATGGCGCGTTGTTGTATGCGAATTCGATGAGTGGCAGCTGCTGCTCCCACGTGTTTGGGTCGTCGCACGTGGCCCTAATGAGCTGCTCCATGGTCTGGTTTGTCCGTTCTGTCTGTCCGTCGGTTTCGGGGTGATACGATGAACTGAATTGTAGTCGCGTGCCGAACTGCTGCCACAGGTTCCGCCGGAAATTGCTGGTAAACTTCGTTTCTCTGTCGCTGATGATCGATGCTGGTATCCCGTGCAGTCAAACGACGGTGGTGATGAAGAGTCGGGCTGTTTCCTCGGCTGTGATTGTTTTCTTGCAGGCTGCGAAGTGTGCCATTTTCGTCAGTCGATCGACGACGACCAGGATCGCGTCATTCCCACTCGCCCCGGCTGGTAACCCCGTCACGAAGTCCATCGTCACTTGTTGCCAAGCACGCTCTGGAGGTGGGATTGGTTGTAATTGTCCCGCCGGCCGCTTCCTGGTTGACTTCATGAGCTGGCAAGTGGGACACGATGCCACGTGTCGTTGCACGTCGGTCAACATTTCAGGCCAGTAATAGTACCGCTGCAGCTGTTGCCGTGTTTTCTCTACTCCGAAATGTCCCGAAGTAACTCCGTCGTGTGCCTCCTGTAACAGTAATTCCCGAAGTAGTGTGTACCCTGGTACCCAGATGCGGTCGGTTCCAGATTTTACGTATTAGACTCCCTTGGCTGCTGCGAATTGTTGCGAGTTTCCTCTTGTGAAGAATGGGTCTGTTTGATATCCATGGGTAAATAGTCCTGTCAGTAGCGGACTGGTCTGGGCGAGTAGTATCGCAGGGATCTAGGCAGTGGGGCGGGTCAGTGCGTCGGCGATATTGGAGGCTCCTTTTTTATAGGTGACCGTATAATGGAAGTTCGACTCGAGGAAGTCGAGCCACCGAATCTGTCGTGGGTTGAGGTGGGGCTGTGCACGGAGGTACTGTAGGGATCGATGGTCTGTCCGTACTGTCACGTCTGCGCCGGTCAAGTAGCAGCGCCACACTTTGAATGCATGCACGATCGCGAGCATTTCGCGGTCGTGTATCGGGTAATTTCGCTCAGGCGGATGCAGTTTGCGTGATTCGTAGGCGATGGGTTGGAGGCCGTTGCCGAAGTCCTGTAACAGTACGGCTCCGATGGCGATGTCGCTCGCGTCTGTAACAACCTCGAAGGGTGTGAGAATAAGCAAACAGGAATGAATGAACTAGAAGTGAAATGAGTACAAGTAGTAAACCCTAGAATTGTGTACCCCCTATAGGCTAACCCACTGTAGCCTACACAAGCATAACATATATAATGTTTGACACACCCCCATAGGCAAAGTAGGGGAGAACAAGGGGTCACAAGACCAGTCAAGCAAAGCAAAGCAAGCTCAAGGTGGATCACAAAGTCACCACACAGTCCGAGCACAAGAGCAGGGCCAGAGGCCAGTTCACATGCAGGAGTACAGACATATATATAAAACTAGACAAGCAAGAGCAGGTATATATATATGTCACAGTACAAGTAAAGTCAAGAGGAGAGCAAGTGAGGCAAGACAGACACAAGACCCAGCTGGGTGCAAAAGCGCTGATGATCACAAGGCGCGAGTGCCTTGGTGAACACATCAGCAGTGTTGGCCTCAGAGGCCACGTACGCAAGTCGCAACTGACCACGCTGCTGCAGCTCACGAGCAAGGAAGTAGCGGAGAGCAATGTGCTTCGTTCTGTGCTCCAAGCGCTGCTCTCGACACAAGGCCAGCATGGCCTTGTTGTCTACGTACAGCACTGGAGGAGAACGAGGCGGCTCTCCAAGGTCAGTCAGCAGGTAGGTGAGCCAGCGAAGCTCCTGTGCAGCCTTGGCCCCGGCGTAGATCTCAGCCTCACAACTGGAGCCGAGAACCGAAGACGAGCGAGTAGACCGCCACGAGACAGAGCCGGAACCAAGGCTGAAGGTGTAACCCTGTGACGACCGCTGCGTAGCCTGGTCGTCAGCCCAAGAAGCGTCCGCGTGGCCGGTAAGGACCACTGGACTCCGCCCTCCAAGCACAAGCCCCATGCCCGACGTACTGCACAGGTAGCGCAATACCCTCTTCGCTGCAGCCATGTGCTCTGGTCTGTGTCTCCTAGGAGCAACATAGCGTGCAAGAATGCTAAGAGGGTATGCAAGGTCAGGTCGTGTGCAGGTCATCAGGTACATGAGGCAGCCAACAAGCTCTGCATACGGACCACTCGACTCTACGGACTCATCCGAAGGCAGAGCTGAGAGTGAGTGGCGAGTAGGCAGAAGAGTGGCCTGAGACGAGGAGTACATGAAGCCGAAGCGCTGAAGGACCTGCTGCACCATGTGTGACTGAGTCAAGGTAATGGTGCGGCGTGCTCTGTCCCGAGTGATCTGCAAGCCAAGGTAGCTGCGCAGTTCACCCAGGTCTGTGCACGTGTGTCTCTTCAGCAGTTCGGACTTCACGTAGGCGAGTCCAGCAGTGTCCGCTGTGGCAAAGACCAAGTCGTCGACGTACACGAGGATGTAGAACGGCGGCAGTGAAGTGTCGGTGCGCAGAAACAGCGACGGGTCAGCAGTAGAAGGAGCAAACCCAAGAGCCGCAAGCGTAGTCCTCAGTGTGTCGTGCCACTCACGCGGTGCCTGGCGGAGACCGTAGACTGGCCGTCGGAGGCTCCACTGGGTGCCAGGAGGGAAAGTCCCAGTGAAGCCAGGTGGACGGCGCAGCCAGATCTCCTCGTGCAGGCTACCCTGCAGGAACGCAGTGCTGAAGTCGAGAGAGTGAAGCTCATAGTCGCGCTGAGCGGCTATGTGCAGCAGCACCCGAAGAGTGGTCATCTTCGGGGTGGGAGAGAAGGTCTGAAAGTAGTCAACTCCCTGCCGCTGACTGAAGCCACGAGCAACGTACCGCGCCTTGAAGACAGGTGGAGAGCCCGGCGGCCGCTTCACCCTGAAGATCCACATGCCACTGACGATGTTCGCCCCAGGAGGGGGAACCGCGTCAACGTAGGTGCCTGTGGACTTCCAGGAAGCCATCTGTGCATCATAGCTGCCTGCCACTGAGAGGAGTAGGGACCCTCTACGGCCTCCGCGTTCTTACGCGGAGTCGGGATGTCTAGTGCATCCGGGTCTCCCTCAGGGGCAAGCAGTACAGACGCGAGATGAGGTGAAGCAGCCGCTAGACACTGGAACTCCTCCTGCCTGTCCTCTAGGACGTCTGTGCCAAGAGCACACTCACCCCCGACGGACGGAGGACAGACAGACGCAGACTCAGCAACAAGACCAGCAGCGTAGTCGAGACGACAGCGAGCAGCAAAGTCAACGAGCTCAGCGACTAGAGCAGACGCAGCAGTGGACTCAAAAGAGGGGTCAGTGACGACAGTAGCAAGCAGACGCGTGACAGTAGGACTGGCAGCGCAAAGAGAGTCCGACTCAGGGTCGGCAAGCGCAGGAAGAGAGGACTCAGGAGGAGAAGGCAAAGGGGCACGCAGAGGAGCAGTGGACGGACGCAGAGACATCCGGTGCGTGCCAGGGACAGGAGGAGGACGCTGACGCGAACCGCGACCACTAGCGCGAGCAGAACGAACAGGCGACGCGGGACGAGACGCAGGCTCACGACGCTCAGCAAGACCTCCAGTAGGACTAGTGTA